CCCCCATGGGAAAGCACTGATTGAATGTTTTCCTATTGGGAAACTTGGATGGCCTTTGCTGCACATGGATATCAGGTCTCCGATGCTCCTTTACAAGGCTCCTCCATGACGTTGCAGTAGCCAGAGAGGTAAGCAACTCTGAGGGAGCCATGGCCCTGTAAAAAGGGAAATGATAAAGGTTTAGGGTCATGCAACATAAGGGCTGAGGGTTGACATGCATATAACTAGGGACAAGGACACTAAAGAGTTAGAAATACATGTTTGTAATCCTAACTATTTACTGTTCCTTTAACACTAATAGGTAATAAATGAAATAGATGTTCACATCCAGTGAAATAGTTGTGCTATGAAGACTTAAGGATATAGTATTAGGGGACACAAAATATTATAGAATACTCATAAATGTTAAATATTTGTACTTCTGAATACCAATATAATTACAAGGAACGCTGATTCCATTTTATATGCATCTAACTGTTTCAAAAATATGCATTCATTAATATCTGCACAAATATTTCATAAGCCCTAAAAACCAATCAAATGCATCTCTATGGGGAATGTACGGAGTCTCCTTGCAGAGAAAGGAGACACTGAATGCCAGTGCTGCACACTGTGCAGCACTGACACAGGAAGCACCTCTAGTGGCTGTCTGAGTGACTGTTGCTGAGTTACCATTCAGTAATGTTCTCTGAAAATGCAGGGACAGGCTATAGACACCAGAACAAATACCTTATGATGTAGTTGTTCTGGTGGCTATAGTGTCCCTTTAATATCATAAACTTATCAATATATCTTTTATAAGTTGACTATTGGATATGATTTTGTAACAAAGCCGAAAGTACTAGTGTAAATATATTAATAATGAAATAAAATCTATTGAATAAGAGCAGGTATCTCAAACTCCAAATAGATTAATGCAAAACAGTGGATTCTAAGATATCTCCAAATACAAAGATCTAATTTAGTCCCATTGAGTTGATCCATTTTATGGATCTGAATTTTGTAAAAACTTTCTTTGTTGCTTATATTTCAATGGTCCAGGTGGAATTCACTACGTCCCCTTGACTCTCTCCACGGCCTATTTGGAGCCATTGTTGTACATGCATGTTCCACTGCCTGGGCACACCAGTGGTTTCTTAAAGAGGCAGTCTTTTATTCAGGTGTACAGAAAATAGAAAATGTTTTGGCACCTGTTCGTGCCTTTGTCAAGTCTCATAGGTATAACGTTCTGTTGTCTATTTTCTGTAATCCTGAATAAAAGACTACTGGATGTACTTGGGAGCTGACCTTCCCTGTTTGGACATACCTGATGGGAGTATTCCCCGACTAAGTGTGTGCACTCCCTATTTATTTAAAAAGTTGAAGACAAATAGAACAGACTGGGAAACTGTGAGAGGGGAGGTAAGTTTACTATGGCAAATGGAATACAAATATTTGAAAATAAGAAAGAAAAATCTTGCTTCAGGCATGTTGTATAAAAAAAACAATGACGAGTATTGTGTGATGCTCTCTTTAAATACATGCAAATCTAATATGTTTTGGTCATGCCAGGTATCCCTGGGGTTTTGGTATCAGCAGAATGGTAGAATTTTGAGGATCTAATGGGTCCTTTAAGAGGAATACTATAGACACCCAAGTCATTTTATCTCAATGAAGTGGTCGGGGTAAAGCGCCCCTGTCCTTTCAACCCTGCAAGTGAAAACATCACAGTTTCAGAGATGTTTACATTGAAGGATTAAGACAACCTCTAGTGGCGGTATTGCAGATAGCCACTAGAGGCACTTAATGTATTTTCACGTAGTTTAACTCCATGAAATGACATTGGACATCCCCATATTTTGCACTGATTCAATGGCTTTTTATAAGGAAGTTCTAATGCACATGGACATTAGGTCCTCCATTGGAGGAGACCAAGCTAACACCGAGAGACCTGAATTAAATTAAGTCTTAAAAGTTTTTTAACTCTCTAATGCTCGTGGGGGTGGGTCAGACTTAGAGTTAGGGACAGGGGTATACTATCTCGTTAGAAATACTGCTTTGTATTCCTAGTGTTCCTTTAATTAAATGGGGAATATTTATACTTTATGATTTGCCGTATAAGTCAAAATGAGCCTGATGTGGTTCAGCACAAATAATTTTCAAACCACTTGTATCTATTCAGTTCACGAACACAGAAAATGTTACTACCGGCTATATGCTTGAATTCAAACCCAAGGTAAAGAAAAATAGACAGTACACGGTCAATCGATCATGTACATATGTGCGCTGCGGGGTTAGCGGTGAGTGGGATTTGCCGCGCACGCTGCTGGCGGGTCGCGAAGAGGTCCATGCTGACAGTGCTCTGATTGGAGCGCTTGTCCGCTAGGGCACTGTAAGGCGGGAAATTACAATATATAAGGCGCCCTGAGGTAACAGCTGGCGCCAAAAAAGTTAAAGAAAAATTTTATTGGACATGTTCCCCGCCCTCCTCCCCTATAATTTTTTATTTTTTGTTGTGGTCATTTATTGGGGTTGAGGTCACCTGCCTGTCACCTGGGGGGGGGGGGTCAGGGTCCCCTGACTAAATGTTTACTGCATAACTATGCTCCTTTGTTGTATTCAAATACAGTTATGGGACCTGCGAGTCCCAAGTTCGCTACTACAGCACCATTAAACCATTGCTACAATAAAAGCCTGTTTAAAACAAATTATATATTTTAAAAGTGAATAAGTTGTGGTTTGTAATGGGTTATAAACTAAATAAAAGTCACATATCTGACTCTGTGTGTTTTATTAATATTTATTCTGTGTTTATGTATGTTTATTTATGGAAAGGTTATATGTTAGTGTATGTTACTGTAACAGAGCTTCCTGTACCCCGGTTGGGTACCTCTGCCGATGGATGCTCCTAGTGCTTACCGAAGGCTCCAAGCACTTCTCCAGACACCATAAGTACTGCAGACCCCACGAACCACTGCAGCTTAGTTGGAGTCTCGCCGTTTCTTACCCACCCTGGACCTACGACAAGGCTCCAGGTTCCAGTGGGTGAACCTCTCTTCCTCCCGAGAGCAAAGCAGGAACAGCTCTTACAAGAGCTAGTGATTATTCAAGGGAGTATGAAGAGCATAGCAATACCTTGTAGCAGTTTCCCCCAATAAGAGACAAGACTCAGATTGAGGGTAAATCAGGAACAGAAAGTTTAATGGCACACACTGGTCTTTTATAGAAGTTTTACAGCAAACGTCCAGGTGGACCTAGTGGGGCACCGAATACAAAACATACAAGCCAATAAAAACAGAAGTTTACATTCAGACACTCCCATACATAGAAACATAGAAACATAGAATGTGACGGCCCAATATTTAAAAATCCAGTGTACACAATCCCTCCCCTCTGCCTGTGATACAATTAACGAAGACAATGGACTAACTCAATTAACTCTAAGCAGAAGAAAACATAAATTTTTACAAACCCAAAAGAGTACCCCAAAATATAACATATTCCCCCAATCTGGGTGAACAACATATCCAAAAATCACCCAGATCGGTTTAAGTCCTTTTTTTGCCCCACCATGCACATGGTTCCATGCCCAAAACAGTTCCATACACTCAACGACAAAACACTGCTGGACAATTTAAGATGGCCGCCACATGTTTTAATCTGTTCCAGTAAAAAGTCCAAGGGGCAGAAACAGTACTTTTGAACATGGGTTATCACAGGGCCCATAGTCCCAGAGTAGGAGACTGGCAAGCAGGCCCTCGAAAAACTCATGGCAAACTCCCTCAAAAAGGGGAGTTTGTCACAGTTACAATTAACCCCTGCAGTGCAGAAGAACAACGAACAGTTTAGCCCATGGCCAGTGAAGATCTAACTAAGATTACGCTTACTTTAAACTAGTTATACTGTAAACATACAGAGGCGACATTTCAGGTTACGATGAGTTTATGGAGCCACCAACAGGCAAAACATGTCTCAAGGTGACAGTGTCATTAAAATAAAACTCCTAAATACTTAACAATTACAGAACTGTTTTATTACAAAACAAACCATATACTAAACATTATAAATATTATATTTTGTTTGAGTGGTTGCCATGTGCACATCTATACAAACCAACACTGAACTACCTTATATGGCCAGAAGTATGTAGACACCCCTACGAATTATTGCGTTCAGGTGTTTCAGCCTCACACATTGCAACAGGTGCAGAAAATCCAGCATTTGTTCCATAGACAAACATTGCAAGCCGTCCAATATACATACAGCACCATATGTCCCACAATGTGTAATGGTAACAGCTGTACATGGCAGTAAGATACATCAGCCTCCTTAACTGGCAGCAATCCTAAGTGTCGGACAAACACAGATCCCTCTCTCACAAGAAGTTTACTGAGCAGTCGTCGCCGTGAGTGACAGTTATATACTGCTCATTAGTCAATGATCGTTAGTGAGCTGCTGCAACGGAAGGCCATTAAACACAGCAACCTCTGTCACACATTTAGTGAAAACTTGTTCTGGAGGTTTACTTAATAGTGCTTAAATAATGTTTGTAATCATGTTTAGTGCTTGTAATAAGCTTGCAAAATTTAGGCCAAAATAGCTGATTTGGAAAAATTCTCCTACTTGGCTAAAGTCCTAGCTTGACTATTTTTGCCTAAACATGACAAATTCACTGCAACCCAGAGTTTCCAAAATATATATTTCTAATGGCACTACCACATTATCAAGGGCAAATGTAGAAGTATAATTTCTGTATTACCGGTGTGGCTGCAGGTGGGGTGTTGGGAAGAGGTGGGAGGTGGCAGGTTATTGGTTAAGTCTCTCTAAAACAGTCGGACAGAAAGCCAGGCAACAACACACATACAAGGTTATTCAGTAAAGGGAATTCAAATTTAACATCAAAGTAGCAGAACTGCGAGCATCGGTGACTTCGAGAATTTTTTCAACTTGGCTATTTTTGCCTTAAATTTGAAAGTTACTGTGAATTTGCACTTTAGTTAATAACCCTGATAGGCTCTATCACAGGCTTCCCCAAACTCTGGCCCTCCAGATGTTGCCGAACTACAACTCCCATGATTCTTTGAATGAAATAGATAGGCTGAGAATCATAGGAGTTGTAGTTTAGCAACATCTGGAGGGCTGGAGTTTGGGAAAGCCTGCTCTAGCACATCTCACTGTAGTGGTTGTGTAATATTGGAAGCTGAGAACCAGCGAAGGCAAGCTTGTCCATCCAGATGCTCTAACTTTAAAACAGGCTCTAGTACTCAATCTCAGGGGGAAAAAAAGTTTGGCGCTATTGAGAGAGCATTTTATCGCATACTATTAGATCCAGATAGCACTATTATGGAATTTTTTTTATCTCCCTAGATAAGATCTATAAAAAACCTGGCTGCAGCTGCATTAAGGGAACAACTTTTGAATGATTGCCTAACAGGTCCAGAAACGATTATATATATATATTATTTATAAAATATTTTACCAGGGTGGATACATTGACATTTATCTCGTTTTCAAGTATGTCCTGGGTCCACAAAACATTGCATTGTTACATTAGGGTATAATATTACAAGAAATACAATATACAAACAATATATATATATCTACACAAATATAAATTTAATACATAACAGGTAATAAATATATTTAACCATGACAGGCGCATTCTGTGCTGAGGTATATTGCCATAGATTTCCTAAAAGATTTAGATTTCCTAAAAGATGTGACTGTGCCCCTGAGGTTATTCCATAATTGTAGTGCTCTGTAGGAAAATGATGATCGAGCCACTTTATTTTGTATTGCAGTATGCTAAATATTGTGCTAGTACTGGATCGGAGGTTATAGGAGGTTGGAACAGTTAGGGAGAGCATTCTACTCAGGTAGGGTGGGAGCTTCCCAGAAAAGCCCTTATGCACCGGGCTGGAAAAGATGAAGAGTGCCTCAGGATTTCAGCGACAGCCAGTTTAGCTCTTTTAACATGTCACAATGGTCGGTAAAGTAATTACATTCTAGTACAAAGCGGCAGAATGAATGATATAACGTATTAAGTTTATTAAGGTGGATTTGCGGTGCGGATGCATACACTACATCCCCATAATCAATGACCAGCATTAGCATTTGTTGCACTATCTGTTTCCTTACTGTAGGGCTTAGGCAGGATTTGTTTCTGTACAGGGCACATAGTTTGGGGTAAAGTTTTGAAGAGATTTTTTCAATGTGAAGGCCAAAGGATAGATTGGGGTCTAGCAACATACCTAGATATTTAAAAGAACAGACTGCTGTCAGTGTGCTATTTGAATTTGTTCTGATACAAAGTTGTTGATTTTGTGGTTTACGTAATTTAGATATATATATATATATATTTACACACACATAAAATAACACAGGAATTACAATATTTGCAATTAGTTTTTCGAGGTTTTAAAGTTATATTCTGTAACAATCTAACGGGGTGTATATGTGGAGTCACACAGACCAATAACAGCACCGCCAGTCAATGTTTTTCCAAGGAACAATGAAACAGAAAAATAAAATCGGCACTCCCCTCCTTAGAGATCTAGGTACCCCTTTTTGAAGACCGGGTCTAAGCCGCCGCAAGTCTGGAACTCCTCACTGGATTGGGGAATAGCCACGACCCAGTAACACTTTCACACTGTAACTCTAGTGTGGATTCTATTTAGACAGCGAGGGTGCTCAGTGACAGGCTTTCCACTGATATATATTGTGTGGGGATACGGTCCAGAGAAATGGGGTTCTGACAGACATTTTGTGTGCTTTTTGTGAAAAGCTATAGTCTCTGCTTTACAGGAGAGAATGTCCTCAACTCTTATCACTCCAGCCTGGTCTGGTGGAAGAGGTCCTTAGAGACCGCAAGTCATGCTTCGATGTCTAGGTCAGCACTGCTCCAGAGTCCCCTGGTAGTAGAGACAATGCTTATCTGGTAGAGGTACTGCTCCAGAGTACAGGAGCTCCGTCATAAAATGTAACCAAAAAGAAAATGTAAGTGTGCATATATATGTTTTAAAACTGCATATACATTTAATTAAGGTAAAATTAGATATGCAGATTTGGTTGCTATGCAACACATTTACTTTTTTGGAAATATGATCAATGAAAGGATATAAGCCAATGTTAATATGAAGCACCTAAAGTTTGCACACAAAGTAGTGATATACATGTTGTCATAGCGATAGAAGATGAAAAAGCTTGCATCCAATTCATAACGATAGATAACTCTACATATCATACGAATGAATACACAGAAGAACACATGGGATTCAAAAGAGGAATCAGATTAAACTGAGGCAAGATCTGTTTTGAAGTTTAGAAAGTATTATATTTTTATATATGTTTATGCAGATATTATTAAATTAAGTTTTTAACATACTGCAAAAAGTCTGTGTCACTTCATTGTAAAGCCACCTCTGTGGGAAGAACAGCCAGAAGAGAGAACATCATTTAGTGAGAAGGTTGGCATCACTCAACAGAAATATACTCTGATTAATTTCAACCATTCGTTTCCAATAGATTCTGCAAAATATTAGTCTGGTGCTATTGAGAGAGCATGTTATCGTGTACTATTAGATCCAGATGGCACTATTATGGAATTTTCGATTTCCCTTGGTCAGATCTATAAAAATACCTGGCTGCATCCAGGGAACAACTTTTGAATGATTTCCTAAACAGATCCAGAAACTATTATATCTAGAACTGGTTCTTATACTCAGAAAAGTATGAACGTTCCAATGTAGAAATCATTTAAAAATACCGGCATGATTCTATTTGGCTTCTATTTCTCTTGCTGTATCCCTTGGTATACTTAAAACTCAGATCAAATAGGAAACAAAACTCGTGAATAAACCCGGATATCAAGAAAAATACGTAGTTACCAACAGAAATATATATTGCATTGGTGGAGGGGATTAAATTATAAACATTATAATATGAATACAGTTGCCTATGGTTAAAATTGCATACGGTGCTCCACATAATTTCTTTCTTTTTTTTTGTAAATAGAAGTTCCTTTATATTGAGGCTTTCCACGAGACACAGCAATGGGAAGACCCAGGGCTCCAACTCTATTGGAAGCAGTTTAGTGATTTGATATCTCACTTTTTCGTAAGTAATCCACCATATTGAGGCATGATCATCACATAGATCTGCAGTTCACATCCATTGAATACCCTGAAATGTTATAAAGGTAAGCGGAAAGCTGCCAGTGTTTAAAGGAATGCTGAAAACACCAAAACAACTTTAGCTTCATGAAGCAGTTTTGGTGTATAGATCATGTCCCTGCAGTCTCACTAATCAATTGTTTGCAGTTTAGTTAAAAGGTTACTCTAAACTACAAGCACTATCGGTACATCACTTATTTGAAGTGATCATGATGCCTGGAACCTGTATATGCAGCGTTTCGCTTTAAAAAAAAATGCTGCACATATGGAGATTAGCTTCTCTGCTGCCAGAGGTGTAACTTCACCTCAAGCAATATAGCTAGGTGTCATCGTCCAGACCAAAACTAGACTTGCAGGTTGGCTGATGTCAATTCTGTGCAAATTCTTTTTGTTTACATTACAGCCTAGTGATAACTCCACTGGCCACTCCTTAGGTGGCTGCTAGAGGTGCTTCTTGGGGCAGTGCTGCACATTGTGATTGGCCAGGGGTGTGTTTGACTTGTGCTGGCTCTGTCCCTGATCTGCCTCTTTGTCAATCTCAGCCAATCCTATGGGAAAGCACTGTGATTGGCTCAGACCACCTCTTCTGATGATGTCAGCAGACACAGGCAGTTCAGGACAGAGGCAGCAGCAGCAGCTTGAGACCTGAATACAAGTAAGATTTTACTATATTTAGGAGGGCAAGGAGTGGTCAGGGGGCAAGATGGTGGTTTTACACTATAGGGTCAGAAATACATGTTTGTATTACTGACCCTATAGTGTTCCTTTAATTAGCTCGCAGCCAGTGAATGACAACAGCAAAGGTTTAAAAAAAATGGGCATAATTTAGGACCATAGACACAGTGGTTGGCCAAGGAAACTTAGTGCAGCATATGGAAGACACATCATGCTTACTTTCCTTCACAATCAGAAAATCTCCAGGAGAAATTGAAACATTTTGTGTGAGCTTGGTACACCCATCAGCTGTTCATAGACGTCATCAAGTCAGATGTTGTCTACATTGAAGCCTTGTGACCAAAACCCCACACCTCCTATGTGTAAACAAAGCCAAGCAACTCAATCAGGATTGGCACAACCATAAGGCGGCTTAGGCACCAGCCTGGAGGTGCAATGTCTGTTCTCTGGGTGACCGTAAGAAGGGAAGCACACAGCACTCCCCTTTCCGCTAGTCACTTCATGTAGCATAGCTGCATGGACTGCGGTAGAGGATCTTCTGTATCTTCTACCCGGTCTGACAGGAAGTGCTCACTGAGAGCAATAAACAGCTTTCTCCCATACTGTGTAGAGCAGGCTTCCCCAAACTCTGACCTCCTAGATGTTGTTGAACTACAACTCCCATGATTCTATGAATTAAATAGATAGGCTGAGAAAAATGGGAGTTGTAGTTCAGCAACAACTGGAGGGCTGGAGTTTGGGGAAGCCTGTTTTAGAGCATACAGAAGATCATCTACTGTGGTCTGCTTGGTCACGTAACATGGAGGGCATTCAGCAGGCACACAAGGGGCAGGGTCAGGTGGGGGTTAAAGGGACAGATGAGTGCATGGGGGAAGAGACACACACAAGAACTGGGGAAGGTGAGAAAGAGACACTCGGAGGGGCTGGGGAATGTGACAAAGAGACATTTAGAGGAGCTAAGGAATGGGACAAAGAGACATTCATAGGAGCTGGGTAAGGCGATATATATATATATATATATATATATATATATATATATATATATATGCACATAAAAATGGGCTGGGTAGCCAAAAATCTTTTCACTGGTCCTGGACTCAACTATGCATAAGAACATATAAAATATTAGGTTGTAGAATTAATGCTCTCCTCAGTGCTGAGAAGCACAGGGAGATACTTACCCATTTTGTAATAAAATCAGGGAGGCATCTGACCCCAGGTTTATTCTGCAGAATTGCAATGACCTCAAAGATACAGCCAAAGTCATTATGAACTATCTTCAACATAAACTCTCTACCCTTTGTATTTGTCTGT